TGGTAGGCAGTGGATGTGGCCGGGGATACACCAACTAACTTCCACAGCTCCTGGGTGAAGTCTGCCATGAACTGAGGGCTGCCCTCCAAGACGTACTTGACTCGTAGGCTGTGGTGCTGCCAGACGTGCTTGTAAAACAACCGGGCCATCCCTTCGGCCGAAAGTCGAGTGTGGCACTCGATGAAGTGTGCACGCTTGCCCAGCATGTCCACAACCACCATGATGGTGTTGTATCCGTGTGACTCTAGCAGCTCCACAATGAAGTGCGCACACTTGCCCAGCATGTCCACAACCATCATGATGACGTTGTATCTGTGTGCCTCAGGCAACTCCACAATGAAGTTCACTGATACTGATTCCCAGTGCTCTGAGAGGACCTCCATGGGGAGCTCTCCAGTGGGAAGTTGTCGGAGGGCCGTAGTCCGGCAGCATAAGTCGCAGGGGGCCACGTAGCGACCAACGTGTCGTGAGAGCTGGGGCCACCAGTAGTTCTGAGAGATCAGCTGAAGGGTCTTGACGTGGCCGGCATGCCCTGCAACGCGAGTATCATGGTGCTGTTCGAGGATGCAGTGTCATGTCAGGGGAACCCCCTCTTCTGATTGATCAGCTTGGGATCTGGCATGTGATTGCGCTCGCGTGACCTGTCAGCTGTCACGTGCCGCGGCCCGGACTGCCGCGCCAAGCACTTCTCTCTGATGGGCACATGGTCAGGTGTCCCATTGTCCCCATTGTCTCGGTTTCCTATTGTTCTCCAATGGCCATTGTTCTTTGTTTGTCGCTGCACGCTCTATTGTTCTTGTACCATATAAATAGTGGCGTCTGGCAAGGAGAATCCCCAACACGGTTTCTCTTTGGATTCTCCTTTGCCAGGTATGCCGGTGATAGGCTGGCTACCAGACGCGCTCTGCACCAGCTCTGTAAGGGCGTATTTTTGCGCTTTTACAGAGTTTACTCTTGAACCACTTGGTGTATCGTGTCGCGGTTGACAGTGTTGCGCTCAGTAGGACTTATGGGTCTACTGCCCAGTCAACGACTGTGGGTAGTGTCGACGATAGCAAGGCAGTCAGACCACTACTGTGGAACTGGTCTTATGAGTCTACACCAGGCTCAGGGCCATTAGTGACGAACGCTTGGACCGCGACCATTCCCCACAAAGGGATCTGTCGTTGCGTCGACTTCTCAAAAAGGGTCATTCTCTGCAGATGGGAACTTGGGCTGAAGGGCTGAGCAATGCGCGACGTTCTCAATAATAGAACTACTACTGGACAGGACTTGGCGTTACGAGACTTAAACCATCTTGTCGCGGCAACTCCCGGTTTTGAGTTGGACGTTTCCTCAGATCATGCCACGACGACGACTTGTCACATGTCAGGATCCATTCGATCACGGGACATTGTGGACGCGTCGCGGTGACACTTCCAAGTGTCACGGCGGGTCGCGCCCATACCCAAACACACTAGAAACCGACACGGTAAGATCCGTGAACCGAACCATGTGGGGGACGACTGGCGTGCCTAGGGCCATACGGCTTCTTGGGGCGCCCACGTTGGTCTCACTTGCCAAGACATACCCGTTGGCCAATCCAGCACGTCGTATTCCAAAGTATGACGCGGTGGGTTGACCCACATCAAAAGTATCATATGGACAATGGGGCGGGGTCCTGATCACTCAGGACCTGTCCGATCGTTCAACTTTTCAATTACCCTAAAAGGCAACCGATCTTAGATAGCGTAGCTACTATGCAGTTGTAGAGGACTTTACTAAGCATCGTCGTAGACAGTATAAGTCGCACGACGTTTCTTTGTATTAAGAAGCTTTCCCCCGGACTGTGAATCACTCTCATATCAGATTGTTTTGTACAATTTGCGTGCCGCGTGATTCCACCCTAAGAAGTTCTGCTACCCCTGCCCGGTCGCGACGAGTTGCTCCCTGAGCACTTGTAGCTACTGTGATTTGAGTTTTGAGTTTTGAGACATCAGAAAGTCGGATTCGCCGCATCTGGTTTAGTCGCGGCATTTAGTGTCGTCGCCTTCGGGCTTTGTTGAGATCGTTCCACACCTCTAGCTTGGCAGTGCGTCGACTAGTTGTGCTCGGGTTGTTTTGGTCAGTTGGCAGTGCGTCGACTTGAGAACTTTGGTTCCACACTTCTTGCTTGGCAGTGCGTCGACAAGTTGTGCTCGGGTTTTGGACATTGGATATTGGCTGTTAGTTGGCAGTGCGTCAACGCGGCATCTTGGTTTACTAGTTGGCAGTGCGTCGACTCAGTACTATTGGTTGTGTCAGTTGGCAGTGCGTCGACTTGACATTTTGGTTTACTAGTTGGCAGTGCGTCGACTCAGTATATTGGTTGCATCGGTTGGCAGTGCGTCAACTTGATATTTGGGCTTTGCGTCACCATCTGGACGCTGTCGCTACAAGGGATCTTAATACTTCGTATTAAGCTCTGACTTGTTATATTGTTGTTGTGGATTGGATTAGTGTTGATTGTGTTCGTATAGAAGATATTGGTTGAGATACCATTGTTTTGCTATATATATATATCCTTGTCGTCGACTTCGTCTCCGCGACTATTGGATCTGCGTCTATTGAGAGTTGTGATACTGGTGCTCTGTCCACCCCGAAGCCCTCGCATCTTTCACACACTGAGAAGCTGATTACGAGGAGTGTGAACGTGTTTATATTTGGGTTTACTTTCATAGTAGATTCACTTGTGAGCGCGCCCTCAGCATTTCATCTGGAGCCCACCGCGAGGGGCTTCTAAAGTTTCATAAACTTTAAAAATCAATAAACCGGATTCTTTACCGCGACGTCGGATAGAGACCAAGGGTTTATCCCGCGAAGCAGTTTATTTCGATCCCAAGCTCCTGCGCGACTTCTCGAGGACCAAGCGGAGATTGAGACTGAAGGAAACGCTTCAACTTCAGGACCTTTCGAAAAACCACGAAGGTCTGCAAGACATAAAACACCTTTGTATCTACCACCCTTGCCCTCCAAGGCAAAAGGGAAACAAAGAGTGAATTTGACGTCGAAGCTTCCAGCTTTAGACGCGGCTACTTCGAGTTCGACGACAATCAGTCGATCTCAGACTAGCTCACAAACCCTCTCAGAATTGTCTAGTAGCGTCAACGCTACAAACACGAATTCTAACAACATCCCTACTTCCCCTGTGACTTCAGTCGCGACAACTATGGCTCCAAAGACTGGGTTCAAAATCCCTCAACCTTGGGACACAAGTAGACCTATACTTGATGAAAAGGATCCCCTGTCGATTGAGGCATATTTGCGTCACTGCGCGCAGATCGTGGAGGATGGTGGCATCACAGATGCCAAACAAGCAAAAAGCATGTACATTCGTTATTTGCCGTCGCGGCAAGTGATGGACGTATGGGAAGGTCTCGATACCTATTCCGACGACACGAAAACTGTCGCGGAGTTCGAGGCCGAAATATTAAAAGGATACCCTGAGGTATCCAAGCGAAAAACGGGGACCATGGCAGATCTAGATAGACTCTGTCGCGAGAACCGTGGAATCAAAATCACGGATGAGGGAGATTTGAAGCGCTTCGGCCTTCAGATGTACAGTCACTACAAGCGACTGTCAGTCCCTCCTGCCATTATTACCAACAAAGTCGCGTGTGAACGCTACATGCGTACTTTGGACTCTGAGTTCAGTACCGTCTTGAGGAACGCTTTGGCTACGAGTCAAGTATTCAATAAACGCTACCAAACTCGCGCCGGGATAGCAAACGCTAATGTCCCCGCGACTGGAGTCAACCGGCAGGACGACCCCATCCAGCTAAAAGAATTAATGACAATGGCGGAAGAAATGGCGTCGACGTTGAGTAACGAAGACGAAATTCCCATAATCGCGCGGCCTCCTAAGGTTCGCTTCGACTATGAGACTAGTCCACCCAACCATGCTAAGGTTGAGGAGTTGGAAAACTCGATTTCCAACTTGAAGGACTCATTTCTTCTACACCAAAAAGAGCTACAGACTCAGTTGCAGGAAGCGCTGAAGACGTTCGTACAGACTGCTCGCGAAGCGCCTATACAGCGGTCGCGGCCAGTAGGCAACAACTCTTCTGTGCCCCACTTTGAAAGTCGCGCACAAGGAGGAGCTGCCGCACGGAACGACGATTGTCGCTACTGTGGACAAACTGGTCATTGGTCGAACGAGTGCCCGCTCAAGAGGTCTCACATTGAGAAAAACCTTCTCAAAGTCGACACCAAAGGGATGTGGAGGCTCTTCGACGACAGTTTCCTACCAAATGGAGAAGGGACTCAGGGACAACGAGTAGAGGCTTACTGGAAGAAGAAGGGCAAATCCGTCAACTTCCAGGACTCCTACTACTTGGATCAGTTCGATAGTCGCGACAATGATGATATGTCCGACTACCCTGAAGAAGTGGCAGATGAGATACGCTCCCTTCGTAGTCAACTCATCCAATATGAGAGGAAGTCGTCGCGGCCAACTCCAGAGAGTCGCGCTGAGCCGAAGACTCAAAGAGCTGCATCTGGTTCAACCAGTAATGCAATGGAAAGCGCCATGGGCCAGTTCATGCAGAAAGCCATGACCGACGCCATGGCCGGCTACTTCAACAACATGAACAGTGGTTATCCTCAGACTCAGGAGCAGTTCATTCAAACCCGTCGTGGTGCGAATAGCCAACCTGAGCGCGACGATAACAACTCGGGTTTCTAAATGGTTCAAGGAAGGGGGCTAAACCCACAAACTCAGCCAAGCCCTCTGAGGACCATGATAAACGAGCTGAGCGACGAGAGAAACCGAGAAAACCTGTGACTATTGAAGAAGTTAGTGATAGCGACGATGATGAGGAATCAGTGCGCGACAACGTCAAAAGGGAAAGGAACTACCGTTTGAGAAAGTCAAGCCCGTTCTACAAGAACCAGTACATTCTTCAAAAGCGCGCGTTCCAGATAAATACCAGTTGCGTGCACCGATTCAAAAGAAGGCTGTGGCAGAAGCAGTCTACGACAAAATGAAAAACGCGTCAGTCGACGTCACTGTGGGTGAACTCCTAGCAGTTTCGGGGACTGACCGCGACTCCATTCTAAAGGACTCTTCGAAGAAACGAGTACCGGTTCAGAAGTCCATGCTTCAAGAAACTGGCCGCGTCGTTGAAGACGTCTGGGATGGAGAACTGAGCTACAACCTAGTCAGTGCTAAGGAATTGCCCGAGCCTGTGTTCTATCATAACACAGTTGAAGGAGAAATTCCCATTGGCGCAGTTGTCGCGACGGATCCATATGAGATGTACTTGGAGTCGATACCCTCTAATGAGAACCCAAGACATGTCTATGTTGGTGATTCGTCGGCTGCTCTCAGAACAATAAACGGACGGATTAACGCGCGTCTCGACGCGGACTGCATCCTAGACAGTGGATCTCAGATTGTATCGATGGCTTTCTCAGAAGCCGTCGACGCACAATTGAGCTGGGACCCAAAGGTCGTCATATATATGGAAAGCGCAAATGGATCTATCTCTAAGTCACTGGAATTAGCGAGAAATGTACCCTTCAGGTTTGGGACCATCTTGGTCTACCTGCAGGTGCACATTTTGGAAAGTCCAGCTTATAAGGTGTTGCTCGGCAGACCGTTTGATATCGCGACAGAAAGCAATATCAAGAACGCGGCCGACGGCAGCCAAATAATCACTATGCGCGATCCCAATTTAAAGACACGTTGTGCAATGGCTACGCAGCCACGTCGTGCAGACGACTTGCCGCGTAACACTAAAAACAACGACGGATCTACCGAGCCCTACAGTTCGTCGAAACCGACGACCAGTCCAGACGAACCGAACCCTGAACGGGATTTTCAAAGAGCTTCGAGGAATTGACCAGGTTGAGTCAAGGAGAAGAAGTCGCGGTGACTGTGTTGTTGGGAAAAGATGGAAATGTAGTGTTCGAGGATCTAAGAAAGCCGCGTTCTAGAGGCCAGTTTACCCAAACTGAGCTAGTAGAAGCATATATCTTGTCGTCGAAAGAGGACAAGGAAATGAGGAAAGATGTCGCTGCGTCGACTTTGTTTCATTCATATATGAATGAAAGACTCTCAGACTCGGCAACGGAAAAGCTGACTGTTGGTACTTGGAGTGTACTAGACGACGACTCTTCTAGTCGCGACAAATACTCTGTGTTCGCAGGAAAGAAATACAAACCTGTGGACCAGAAGGTCAGACCGGTGTACACTATGGGTTCTGAGGACGACCGAATAATTCGAGAAATGGTGGGAGATCCTTTGGATACGCTACCTACTCTAGACCCGCGACCACCTGATTTTACCCCAACTGGTAGATTCACGGCGGAACGCAGGGACATTGTGGACAAGCTACACAAAGGGGACTTCTTATTACCAGAAGAACGGAAGTTGCTCATGCACTTCTATATGCTTCACAATCAGAGTTTCGCGTTCAATGATGAAGAACGTGGCGCATTAAGACAGGATATTTTTCCTCCTGTCAAGATCGCGACAGTTCCCCATACAGCATATCGCGAAGGGAATATTCCTATACCTCGCGGCATGTTCGATCAAGTGTGCAAGGTCATAAAAGACAAAATCGCGGCCCAGGTCTACGAACCTTCCAATTCCTCTTATCGGAGCAAGTTCTTTGCTGTACTTAAGAAGGATGGGAAGAGTATCAGACTGGTACACTCGCTAGAACCACTCAATGCAATTACTATCGCGCATTCAGGATTGCCACCCGCGACAGAGGAGTTAGCAAACCACTTCGCCGGTCGCGCCTGTGGTGCTGCGCTAGACTTGTACTCAGGCTACGACCAGCGTGACATCGATCCAGCTAGTCGCGACTTGACTACGTTCCAGTCACCGTTCGGTGCGCTGAGGTTGGTCAAACTCCCACAAGGGTGGACCAACTCAGTACCAATATTCCATGAGGACGTTACTTTCATTCTGAAAGACGAAATCCCTCATGTTACTATTCCATACATCGACGACGTACCCGTTCGAGGACCTGGAACCAGGTATCTGTTGCCCGATGGGACCTGTGAAACGATTCCAGAAAATCCTGGGATTCGTCGCTTCGTATGGGAGCACTTTCAGAATGTGAACCGCGTCGTACACAGAATCGGCTACTGTGGCGCGACTCTGTCTGGTACCAAGTCGGTGGTTTGCGCCGACGAGTTCGCTGTGGTTGGCCACATCTGTTCGTTTGAAGGTAGAAAACCGGACGCGGACAGAGTTGGTGTAATCATGCGTTGGCCAGATTTGAGAGACGTCTCGGAAGTTCGACAATTCATGGGCACGATTGGGGTCATGCGGATGTTCATTAGAGGATTTTCTGAAATGGCGCGACCAATTCAGAGACTAGTGAACAAGAACGCGCATTTTGAATGGGGTGACAAACAGAAACTCGCATTTCAAAGACTTAAAGACGCGATACAAGTCTGTCCGTCGCTTAAGCCTCTGAACTACGAGTGGGACTCTGAGATTGTCGTCGCAATAGACACATCCTGGATGGCCGCGGGTTTCGAAATTTACCAGCGCGACCCAGGTGATCCAAAGAAGGTCTATTACGCGAAATTTGGGAGTATCCCACTTACAGAAAGAGAAGCTAGGTTTTCTCAACCGAAGCGTGAACTTTATGGTGTGAAGCGCGTGCTTCAAGCCATGGCTCACTGGCTTCTTGGTTGTAGGAAATTGGTAGTCGAAACCGACGCGCTGTACTTGGCAGGCATGCTAAGAAACGTTGGTAACCTACCAAATGCGAATATCAACCGTTGGGCTGAAGAGATCCTCATGTTTCAATTTACCTTGAAACATGTCAGAGGAATCACCTTCTCACCAGATGGCTTGTCGCGACGACGACCTGCGCCTGGAGATGAAGAGTATCCCAATGACGAAGAGGAAATCTTCGACGAGCCACCACCAGAGAACAACAAGAATTGGGACTACGACACAGAACAACCATTAGACTTTGAAGAGTTCAAAAGGGATATTGACACTAGAGGTGGCTACCTTAACTCTATGGTCGGATGTGCTGAGTCGGTCGACGACATATCCAAAGAGCTAGTCGAGGCTTGCGACTCTCGTCGCGCTGAGAATTGGCGTGTCAAAGACGCATATGACGCTCAAGGACTCGTCGTCCCGGTCTTCATGTTGAACGATGTGGCAAACGGAGAACCGCTTTTGCCTGATCTTGAACTGCGCGACAATCCAGAGGATCCCTATATCGAGGATCACCGGACGGGCACAGGGATTGAACAAGACAATAAGTTGGTAATGGCTAGGAAGTGGTTGAAAGACACTTCTATAAGGCCTGAAATGACAGATAAACGGTTCAGATTGTTTCTCAAATTCTCGCGACAGTTTTTCCTCAAAGATGGAAAAATGTACAAGAGATCAACCAATGGGATTCATAGACTGGTCGTGGACAAGCACCACAGAACTTATATGATGAAGGCGTGTCACGACGCGCTGGGTCATAAAGGTCTTTTCAGCACTAAGAGCCTGTTGGAAACTCGGTTTTGGTGGCCAGAAATGGAAAGAGACGTCGACTGGTGGATAAAGACTTGTCATAGCTGCCAAGTCCGCCAGAAAACTCTCCTCCGTACTCCACCGACGCCGACAATGACTCCCAGTGTATTTCAGAAAATACATACAGACGTCATGATTGTGGGAACACCTTCCAACGGATACAGATATGTTGTCGCGGCAAGGGATTCTTTGACCCGCTACGTGGAAGCGCGACCGCTACAGGCTGACAACGCCAAGGCAATAGCGCGTTTCTTGCTCGAAGACATAGTGTGTCGCTGGGGGTGCCCTAAGTGGATTGTAACCGATAATGCAGGACAGTTTGTCGCGGCGTTGAATTGGTTACAGAAGAAATATGGTATCAAGGGAATAAGGATATCTCCTTACAATTCCCAAGCGAATGGCACTGTTGAAAGAGGTCATTGGGACATTCGACAGTCACTGTACAAAGCTACTGGGGGAAACGCCTCCAAATGGTTTTGGTTCTTCCCACAAGTCTTGTGGGCAGATAGAATTACAGTGCGTCGCGGGCTGGGTTGCTCACCGTACTTCGCAGTATGTGGGGCCCACCCTACCATCCCTCTGGATATAGTCGAAGCTACGTGGTTAGTCGAATATCCTGACCGGATCGTCGACTCTGCGGATCTCATTGGTCTCAGGGCACGCGCTCTAGCGAAACACGCTGACCATATTGAAGATATGCGCAGCCGCGTCAGCGACGCCAAACTAAAGATGGTTCAACGCTACGAACTCGAGTACAAGCATGTGATCAAAGATTATAAGTTTGTACCAGGGGACTTAGTGTTGGTCAGGAACACAGCTATTGAAAAATCATTGGACAACAAGATGAAAGCTAGATATCTTGGTCCCATGATTGTAGTTCGAAAGACCAAAGGGGGTTCTTACTTGGTCTGTGAAATGAACGGTGCGATGTTCCATGCGAAAGTCGCGGCGTTCCGAGTAATACCCTATTTGGCAAGACAGAAGTTGACACCCTCTGAAGATATAAAGAAGCTGATAGATATTTCGCCTGCTAAACTCGATGAGTTGGTAGAGGAAATATCTGACGTCCGCGACTACCAGTTCGAAGGTGTGAGACTCAAGAACTCGGATAGTGACGACGACGACGATCCTGTAGAGGATCCAGCTTCTGTCGAGTGAAAGTCTGGCAAACAAGTATTTGTCGCGGCAGGCTCTCGCACGACAAGACGTCGCTTCTCTCAGTTTTAGACAGAATTCAGTATATTGCTTGGGTGCTAGCTGGTACCTAAGGACTATACTGGGTTGTATCTAAAAGAAAAAGGTCATAAAGGAGGTGCGCGAGAAGAAGAGACGTGACTTCATAAATAAATGACAAGAGAAAGAGAGACATATGGAAGGAGAGTGCATATTATGAAAAATTAGGCCGCATTCTTCGACATCGAGAGGTCAATGGCTTCCTTGACGTCCTTGAGCGCGGTCTTCCATTCCTCTAGCCGCGACGAGACGTAGTCGCGTTCCTCGATGAGGAGCTCGAGTGGAATGGACCGCCGCAACCGGTACAATTGATGTCGATGCACTCGGTCCGCAATAAACCTTCGGTCGGACGCGGACGCTGCCAATTGGTTAGCAAAGTGTCGCGGCGGGAGGGTATAGCTGCGAGACTCACCCGGGGCCGCATCAGTGGTACTGTTGCTGAGTCGCTGCCTCTTCGAGCCGGTGACAACGAACGATGGCTGGGTAATTGGTCAGAAATGTAGTCGCCGCGACTGGGTGAGAACTCACGTCTGGAAACTCTGGAGACAGCTCCCTAGAGCCTCCATCTGCTCCACGTGAAGCTTCGACATTTTGGCGCTGAGAAGACGCATTGACCTATCGTGCTCGTCTATGAGTCGAATGATAGTCCCATAGACGTCCGCGAGCCCTACGGAGTCGTCATGACCAGAACCGTCGACCGATCGAGAACCGGACCGTCCGGCGACGGTCTTGCAAGTAGATGGTCGCGGGGTCTGAGAAAAATCAGCCTGTGCTCGGCAAAGACTCAAGACGGACGCACCTTCTCTTGAACAGGAGTGGGGGCCTCCATCTCGACGTCTGAATCAATGTCGATGGCAGGAGTTGAGCCTGAAGCCTCAGGAACAGGGTCTTCGGCCTGTGCAACAATATCCGTAAGAAAATCTGGACAAAGACAGGGAATCAGACCTTGGCCTTCCCAGACGACGACGGAGTTGCAGCAGGACGTGGGATGCTCTCCTGAGCTTGTCGCATGCTGATGATCGCCGCGACAAGGGACTCATGCCAGACCAGATAGGCTCGATACTTGTTGACGGCCTTGGTCTGGGAAGGGTCGCGCTGCTTCTCAGGAAC